GCGACTAGCACGCATGTGGAGGGGCATCTGGGCAAGCTACCCCAGAGCTCTATCTGGTTTCGTGCTTGAATCTGGTGCAGCTTGTTATATAATTTTGGTCGAGGATTTTGATATTAGACAATTGGTGACAATGGTTTGCCAAACTGCTCTTCTGAACCGGTTGTGTCCGTACTCGACACTGGTAGGAACGGGCACTCTGCCATAACTATGGGAGCTCGATATCAAGCCCCATTGCATTCTGAGTGACTAAACTGTCTGCTACCTGACACGTATCTGCAAGGTCGACCCAAAGACGTATTCTCACAAGTCAGTCTAGTCATCGTTGCAAGTGACAGCCATTGGTGTTTTGTCAGCCATGCAGTAGCTGCGTGGCAGCATCACTTCAGGATAATTGAACACAGCGTAAACAGACAATGAAGATTGTTCTATGCGGTCTGACAAAGGAGATGTTGTAATGGGTAAAGACTTGTCGATTGATTGTATATTGATGCAGAAGACTCATACTGGTCCCACCCATCTGGATATCATGCTCGAAGTGTGGAGTCTAGTTCTTGCCGAACCAGGTCTTGTGTCCCTGATTAAAGTTAGTTTGGAGGTGGTCCTCAGAACCGGTGCAAGCTTACAAGAACGAGACGGCCCATCATGTACATGCTGGCGCCGAGGCTGCTGAACATGATGACCTTGAAGCCGGGAACCAGGTACTTTCCGCGGGCCTAAGAAGCAATCTGTCAGCATTTGTCCCTGTATTTTCTCACTTCCAGACGCCATGTGTCCAGCACCGCATGCACATCATCTCGAACCACGTCATGCCCCCATCGACCCTCCTCTTGTATATTCAGTACGCACCTTCTCCCAGGTCCTCAGTCCGTCGTGCTTCTGGAACTCGCGTTGCCAGTAAGGCACCTTGTTCTCGCGCATAACCCAGCTGCCGACTGTCAGTATCCAGCTCTGTGCGGAAAGGCGGAGGAGCGCTGGAGGCTGTCGCGGTGCTCTCCGGAGCCCTCAGCCGGGCCCAAAGCTCGGGGATAGACGTACCCAGGCATTTTGAAGAGTGTAGAGGAGTATTGCGCGGCGTGCGGGGGCAATTGGTGGATTCGTGGATTGGTCGATTTGGTGATGTCGCGAGGTCGAATGATCCGCCGGCGAAAGCAAGTCGGCCGCCAAGGCCCTTGGCCGCTTTGGGCGCAACAACTTTCCGCATCTCCAGTTCACGCACGACGATTGCGACGCCAATGGACTGATTTCGCCCTTCGCCCCTGTCTTGTTGATGCCACCGGCTCTGGACAGGCTCCTCGCCAGCCCGTCAGCCCTGCGACTCCTGCGCTCCATCGTCAATGCCCCCGAACTCCCCGCAGCCTGTTCCGCGGCGACAAAATGCTGCCCGCCAGTAGCACGCCGCCGCAACTACTCCACCCAGCCGAAACCGCAACCCAAGCTGAAATGGAGGCGAATGAAGGATGCAAGCGAAGACGCGGCAGTCCGAGACCACGTGCTCAAGGCACTCGAGCGTGACGAGTCGAACGATACCCTCGTCCAGACCGTAGATATCTTCCAAAACGACGTCGTACGTGTAGCGGAAAGGGAAGACGATCCTGCACAACTTGCCGCTATTCTTGCAAGCGAAGAGAGACTGCACGGGAAAAAGGGTGTCCGCAATGTGTGGCAGAACTTCCGCCATCGAGGGTACCGCCTGCCCACTGAAGACACACCCGATGCCGCGTTCCTATGGGGAACTTTTGTGAAGAACCACCTGATCGCGGACAAGGCGATAGAGCACGCTGAGGAGCTGCTTCACGAGACAGGCAAGACATACCCTGGTCTGTACTATCTGGTCATGAGCCATTGGCTTCCGAGGAGAACAGCGCCCGCGTTGAGGTATCACTACGCGATTCAAAAGAGCCTGAAGCCTCAGCGGCTTCCCCTACGGCAGCTGGCACATCAGGGGCGATCGACTTACAAGCACGGCGCATATGAAGCATTGATGGAGATATACGAGCACAGCAATGAGCGGGACCTCTACGACGAGGTGGTGCCAGCCCTCATTGAGAAGGATGACATAACTGCGGCACGCCGATGGCATGCACTTTGCACTCTTCGCAACGATATGCCGTCCGAGTCTGTCGCGTCACATCCTCTCGTCCAGCTGTTCACCGTCGAGGATTCAGCTCGTGAGGTCTACTTTGACACGAAAGGGTCAACGAAGAAGTGGAGGCGGGGTGCAGCAAAATACAATGAGAAACTTCTGCGCCGCTTGGAAGGCCCCGATACCGCGCCCGTCCGATTCGAAGACTCGTTCGTCGCCCGCATGTTCGCAACGCGTACCTTTCCACCCGCTTCGATCATACAAGGTCTCTCTATGGTGGGCATCAACGAGATTGGGCCTCAAGCTGTGCTCACCATGGCCCTGCAAACACAACCGGTGGAGGAGCTACCTATGAGGTTCGAAGAGCTCAGGCAAGCAGGCATTGCCCTGCAGGGCTGCGTCTTCTCTTTGGCACTGGAGACATTCGCAATGGAGCAGAAGTGGCAACTGGTGCGCAGTATGCTGCAAAGCGACCAGCATCCGGACGTCTTTGGCGACGTGGAAATGCAACGCAAGCTGCTCGAGCACTATCTTGACAACGACGATTATGCGCAGGTCCAGCGCACACTTGCCATTCTAACGCTTTTTCACAATGACTCTAGTCAAGAGTCTTGGAACCTGCTCTTGCAAGTCTACATTAAACGCTCTGGACAGAAGCATGTCGTGGAAGTGCTCCAAGACATGCGTGCTCGCGGCATCATGGTGTCGCCTGAATCAATCATGGCCATTCGCAGCCTATTGCGTCGTCGGCAACGAGGACACAAGCCTGTCAGTGACCGATTCGATGACTTGCGTTTCGTCGCGCGTGTATTCGTCATGATCCTAGAGAACGGTCTAGCCCCCATCTCTCCACTCCAATGGCGCGAGATCATACGCAGATTTGGCATGGTTGGAAGGTTCAGGGAGCTTAGAAGACTTTTACTCTGGCTTCTTTGCTGGTATGCACCGAGAAGCAGTTACCAGTTCAGCACGTTGCCAAAATCACCATTTCTCGAACCGGCAACAGCGAGACTGCGTGCTGCATACCCTGAACGATTCCACTACTTCCACTTCCCAACGACGGTCACACAGCGCGAGAATCCGTTGCATCCCGTTCGACAACTGTTCGCCCCCTCCCTTCAGCAAAGTCTCATCATCTGGGGCTTCAAAGCTGGACTCCTGCCAAACGCACCTCTCGAACAGTCCATGCTGGGCCCCACGCTGGCCAAAAAGCATTATCGTCGTCGGTTGCTGCAGCGCCGGATGCTACGCCGATTAGAGTGGAGCGCAGGTCTACGAATCGTTGTGCATCTACGAAATCTCGGCGTATTTGTTCACTACCATACCGTACTCAAAGCCTTGCAGTCGCAGTTCATAAACATGTTCGGCCATGGTCGCTCCAAAAAGAGAGAAAACAGAGTGGTGGAGAGGTCCAACACGCTCCCGTATGCGCGATACGTTCACGAGGTCAACAAGATATGGGGCAGTCCGCTACTGCGGGAGCCTCAACTCTTCGGCAAGGGCATGGTACACGACCACATGTGGCACCCACGTATGAGACGGAACATCAAGCGCAGAGCTTCCATCAGCCTTGGTGAGATTCTGGGCCCGAACTGGAGGGATCGCGACCAAGAAATCCACACGGCTGTTAAGCAAGACGAGAATGCGGCCATAGCTCAGCTGCAGAAGCACTTCAAGAAGCAGGCCAAAGCCATCGAACCCGGTTCTGAGCCGCAGCCTCCTTCCACAATAGTCGTTCCGCGCGTCCAAATCGATAACGGTAAGAAAGGACGAAGTGCCCCATACACCGGCGACTAAGATAACGACCTGAATGCCTGGCCATGCCATGATACGTAAAGAATATACACCATAACCTTTTTCGCTTACTCCAATCCCGGATCTGGATGAGTGCTTCTGATGATTCGCTATTCCTTGCTTACACACTTTCTCAGCCGTTCAAGGAGTGAAAATCCCGACCTCCGAAGAGACGGAACGGGTGGAGGTGCGGGCGCGTGGAGCCGTCGCTTGGGTGAAAGCGGGAAGTCGCGCTAGTGTGTGCCTCATGAAGGCTTGACCTGCAGGACCTCAGCTTTACACTTTCGCACCTCCAATCTCGACGTACAATCGCTTCCGCACACCACTGACTGAACTGCTACCCATGGATTACTCACCGCTCCTCTTGATGCGCGGTCATAACTATAGCTGACCACGCGGGAGATGCTGCTCGTGCGGCCAGAAGCAGGCCTTCCATCCCGCTTTCTCAGCCTTCCCAGCTTCTCAGCTCTCAAGCTCATGAAGTGGCTGATTGACGCCTGTTTTTCGTTCGCTAATTTGATCAGCACCCTGTGTCATGTCATGACCATTCGCCAGGCCCAAGGCCGAGGACAAAGTCGGCCCCCGTCATGCCAACAAGCGCTCTGCTGGCGCGTGGTCTTTCCTCAACCGTGCCTCCTGCTTCAACTCTCCATGTAAGATCCTGGAAACATGCGCCAAGGCTGAAAACTCTGTTATGCAATGTAACATTGTTCTCCTGCAGCCAGGCCGGTCGATCAGCCACAAGGCTGTGCGGGCTTTGGCGAACCTCCGCTACTCGTCCTTGTACTACAGAATGAGTACCTAGGCGCCGTGCGCGAACACCCTGCACCCGCATGCTTCCACCAAACAGCATCACCTGTCCAATCAGACCTTGGACGGCAGTCGCGTTGCTACCTTGCATTGCTCAATTCTACCGGAATGGTGCTTGACGCTTCCTGAGGCATGCGCTCGCTTCAGTCACTCTGTAAAAGGGTGATGTCTAATGTGCCGAGCGTCTGACCTAGGAGTCTGATTCGGCCTCGCGGGTATAAAGGCCTTCAGGTTGCTCTAGCCAGCCGAACTGCTTGCTCTAAGTTAAGCACCTGTCATCGTACATAAAGCACTTACTTTGAATTCGATTGCAATGAGTTCCACCGATAACGACTTGTCAGAGCAACAAAAGGCCAGGACGGGCAAGAGGCGGGGCAAGGATAGCAATGATGTCCATGGAACGGGCAACTCGTCGTGGAAACATCGTCGTGAATACAGCACTTTCAGCTATCAACCTTTGCCACGCAGCCAGGGGACCATTCGGATCCTTGAGCTTTTCTCTAGCGAAACTTCGGCTGCTGGAGTTCTTTGTGCATTGATCACACCAGGCGAGAACGAGAGACACCAATATCCCTATGAAGCCTTGTCGTGGTGCTGGGGCACAGCAGGCAAGTCTGCTGAGATCAGGATTCAACGCAATCGCAAGACATACATCAAGAAAGTGAGCCCGAACCTTGTGGCTGCTATGAAGGCACTTCGCTACCCGGACCGTAGCCGCTTCCTGTGGATTGACATGGTTTGCATCGACCAAGACGAGTAGGTCAGTCAATGATACTCAATCAATAATCGCTGACTTCTGTAGCCTGGGTGAAAAGAATCATCAAGTCGAGATGATGAACATAATTTACGGCAACGCTTCGCGAGTTTGCATCTGGCTTGGGGACGCGACAGAATCCAGTCGCATGGCACTGCGCTTCATCAAGAAAGAAGTCTCACATTTACGAAGCTTCGACACCCTCTGCGACAGTCAGGACGCGAGCAAGAAATGGGTCGCGTTACTAGATCTGATGCAAAGACCATGGTTCTCACGACGGTGGGTTGTTCAAGAATTGGCCTTGGCGAAGAACCCCATCATCTACTGCGGCAGAGATAGGATCTCTTGGAAGAAATTCGCTGTTGCCGTGGAACTCTTCGTGGAGGTGGAAACAGCGACGCATCGCCTGTCGGAGGTCATGAAGAAAGATCGACAGTACCAGTATATTCCCAGTGTTTTCGACTACGTCTCTGCCCTCGGCGCTAGCTTGCTTGTTGATGCGACAGAGCGCCTGTTTCGCGACTACAAGAAATCCGAAGTAGCGCAACCCGTGCCAGGCCCTCTGGCACAGATTGAGTCAATCACCGATTCGGATAGCGAAGCCTTTTCTGATCCAAGCGACAGCGAAGACGACTACACATCTGCACCCCTTCATTCAAGCCATGTAGAGGACGTATCTGGTAGCTCGAGACATCGTATACAGCCTCTTCTGAGTCTGGAATATCTGGTATCAAGCTTGACCATTTTCGATACCACCGTTCCTCACGACACAATTTATGCACTGCTTGCGATCGCGAAGGACACCACACCACGAGCTGTGAGCGTAAATGCTGCTGTCACGTCTAGAAGCGCTCAAGCAGGCCTTGAGGTTTACACACAGCGCAAGAGCTACAACGTCGACTACAAACTGCCGTACGTAGATGTATGCAAGGACTTCATTCAGTTCTCGATCGACCGTTCTCTTCACGGCAACGCAAGTCGCGCGCTGGATGTCATTTGCCGCCCATGGGCCATCGAGGAGAGGAAGCTACAAAAGATGCGGGATACCAAGGAGAAAGAGAAGGAGAAAGAACAAAGAAGGAAGAAGAGAGAGAAGGACCTTGAAGCACGCCGCAAGGGACGCGAGAGCCGTAGAGCACTTTCCAATCATGCCGAACCTCCTGACCCACCTGAGGGAGCACCTGTTCAGAACGTATCTACGAACGCTGAATCGGGGGATATGGCATTGCCTTCCTGGGTACCACAACTCTCGTATGCACCATACGCGATGGCCCAACGGCCGGGTTTGACCGGCCCCAAGATGAGTCGCATTAACGCCGATCCTTTGGTTGGACTTCCAAGTTCCTACTCTGCTGCTGAGACCAAGGGCGTCGACATCAAGGCACTCCGATTTCGTAAGCGACTGAAACCTGGACACTTTGACGAGGGTCGATTCAGCATGTACGTCCGCGGCTTCAAGCTTGATGTTATAAAGGATGTCACCCAGGTATCTCGCAACGGGCACATTCCCGCAGAGTGGCTTGATCTTGCAGAATGGGAAGACGGAAAAGGGCTCCCACCTGATATGTTTTGGCGGACGCTCGTCGCCAACCGGGGCAAGGATGGCAAGAATCCACCCGTATACTACTCGCGGGCTTGCCAAGAATCGTTCAGAAAAGGTGGTCTTGAGAGCGGCGCAATCGACACTACCGCGCTCATTGAGTACGAACGCAATTCTGTCGTCGCCCAGTTCTGTCGCCGTGTGCAGGCCGTCACATGGAACCGTGCCCTTGTGCGTACCGAAAGCGGGACACTAGGGCTGGTCGGGAAAGATGTCCTAAAAGGCGATTTGGTCTGCATACTCTACGGATGCAGTGTTCCAGTTGTGCTGCGGGAATGTTCGAAGAAGACTGAAGAGGTGTTTGAGGAAGAAATGGAACAAGAACTGGTCGACGTCAAGAATACAGTCGTGCAGAAACTAAGGCAATACATCTTGCGCAAACGACGACATGAAGCTTGGAAAGACAAAGAGATGGCAAAGCTGTGCCGAGTATGGCTGAGAACCACCGACTACATGCGTAGCCACGGCATCGATTCTGCCAAAATGTCAGCCAAAGACAAGCAACATGCCGAAAGCATCATTCTACACACCTTGAAGCAATTCACAACCGACTTCAAATCCTGGTTATGCGAAGAGCGCAAGAAGGCATGGCCAGCAATTGAGGCCCGCATTAACGAGGAGGTGAATGAGAGAAAGGAGTACCCTAGAAGGAAAGTGAACAGGCCGGGTAAAAAGGAGACGGACGAGAACCTACGCAGGCAGACATCACGAAAACGGAGAGAGTCATTGGGTGCTGCTACTATGCTAGGGAGAATCACCGAAGAACCGACGGCGACTGAAGGTACTACCTCCGCTGCGCCTAAGGATGGATCCGCGACCATCAAAAAGAAGAAACCATTAGTAGATTGGTGGGATTTCGAGCTGGCACTTGTTGCCGGTAGGCGCTGGTTGCAGATGACCAGAAGAGGGAAGGCCAATCGGATCAACTTTGCGCTACAGTACAGTGAACACCTTTGGAAACAAATGCAGCATGGCGAATACGAGGCTGTCAAAATGCGCGTTGAGAAAGGAAATAGTAAGAAGATGGAGGGGTGGACGGATCAGCACCAATACCGCGTGATGAGCGAACGCGACACCCGCAACGGAGGTGTGACTGGCGGCTACCAAATAGCGAACAAGGGACTCGAAAGAAACGACTCACCGACAAGAGGCAACGAGAAGCATCGCAATGATCAGGACGATGAATACTCTCAGTATCATGGAGACAACGAGGAGCCTGGCAGCACTGAGGAACACGGAAACCCCGAGAGAGAAATTGATGCATATGACGGTGACCACAAGACAGAAGCGGAACCTTACGGGAACGGAGAGATGTCTCAGGCAAGTTCAAGGTCGTCGAGCTCGAGACCCTTTACTGCACATGCGCCGCCTGATATCGCAGCGGCCATCCGGCCCAGCTGGCGCCGCCCCGTAAACAAAACGAAGTTGTCGGCTGACGAGATACACGAATACGATAAGAAAGTCAGAGAAAATCTGCGTGAGAGGCTTGGCGACGAGGGTTACTTTTCCTACACGCTTCTTGGCGAGTGTTACATTCATGGGATGATGGATGGTGAGGCAATGCAGCACCAGAATGAGGGTGCTGAAGGCGTGATTCCTTCGATGGTATTTGAGATTCGTTGATAGTCAGCTCTTTAGTCCGTGCAGCAATCCGATTTCGTGTTGTCTCAAAGCTCGATACAAATTCGCCGAACTTGAGAGTGCGACAGGGTGATAAATCGGTTGTCCCGAATTATGAGATATCGCGTCCTCACGTGCATGCGCGTGGTCGCTAGCTTAAACGGGACACGTTTCAGGAGCCTGACGCGTCAGCCCCACTTCCGCGTTGCCGAGGAAATGCCAGGTCGTTTTCTCATCATACTTCCCTTGTTGTAGCAGCACCACGCCTCAATTCTTCACATCGTACACCTCAATCCCCCTCAATTGAACCCAGAAAACCCTACAAGAACTCGTTAGAATCATGGTTGCCCACTGCGCGCTGTGCCCTGACGAAGGCAAGCTCAGATGTGTCGCCTGCAACGGAATCCAGTACTGCTCCAAGCGGTGCCAAAAGGCCGATTGGAAAGTCCACAAGCTCATCTGCAAATCCTTCAGCGAGCACATGAACAATCGTCCCAGTCAAAAGCACTACAGCATCATTGTCTTCCCGAAAGATGAAGAGGCGCCTCGCTTCGAGTGGACTGTGTTCGAGCCTGGCACCTACAACGCCAAGATTCCTTCACCCAAGAAAGCCTACGTGCAAGAGCTGGGCTTCGAGTTTTATGGGGTAAACTGCAACAATCGCAACAATCCCATAGGATACTTCGAGGAAGACAGCACCGATTACACGACTAAGAGGCACATCGCTGGAAAGCATCTCGGTTTGCTCTTTACGAGAAACCTGGGATCTTTCGAAGAGCCTCTGCCGGAGGATATACCAATCAGTTCGTCAATATCTTTGTACAAGTCGCACGAGAAATGTACTAACTCAATACAGACAAGAGCTTGATGGACATCGATCCTGAGCTTGCGCGACTCCACGGCAAAGGTCACGTCCTTGCCTGGGGCTGCCATTGTCCCGAAGACAGACGCAAAACCTCCGATCTCAACTGCACACCGGCAGACTTCCGTCACGCTGTGGACGCCCTGAGAAAGAACCACTACAAAGATAGCTTGCGAGCGAAGGAGGTCATATCGAGGAAGACGGGTGGTGTCCTTGCCGTGCGCCTCACTTGCGTGGGCGACAAGTTATTCTTCGGCCATCCTACATATGAGAGCCAGATCGAGCCGCGCTCCATCCTGAGCAAGGACTCGCAGGTCCCCTGCCCAGTCGCCGACAAAGTTGGCATTCCACTTATCATCCGGAAAGAGCCCCCTGCGCTCTCCTGGCGCGACCGCGACGTCGAGTCCCGTCGCGAGAACCACAACGCGGCGATGCTCAACCCGCCTAACCAGAAGACTAAGACCGGCACTCTGATCATTGCTCGTAAGGACGGGAAGCCGCTTTTGCCCACGCACCTCTTCTGCCTCATCATCTACACCGGCGAGAGGCTGCAAGACCCGAAGTTCGGAGAGGATGGCCATCGTCTGCCGAGTATGATGTTGCAGAGTCGTTTGAACCTGGTGTCTCCGGAGGACTTTGAGGAGTACTATAACAACGAGTGGCATCGTTTGAAGCTTAGTGAGAGGTTCGTCCCATCGCCTTATCAGATGTATGATGACTATGATGGCGAGATTCATCCTATCAATATGAGATAGGTTGGGATGAATATGGGAGAAGCACTGGCTTGTGGATGATATGGAGCGATGTAGGAATGTAGGAATGAATGTAGTCTGTTATATTCAGCTAGATAGCGTCACCCAAATCAACTTACATTCCGTAGCTACAACTCGCTTTTATGTGACACCTCCCTACTAACACCATCCC